TAAGGCCAGATTCCGAGCTCCGTGGTTCTTCTCATCCTCCAATACCAGCATGTCCATCGGCAGCTTCTGGTGGGCAGCTCTGTGGAGTTTCTAGTGAGCAAGGAGAGGGCGTGTTCTGGGGTCTGTCTATAGCATCTCCCAACAACTTCAAGGACATCCCTCCCCAAGGACCTTCTCCTGTGTGTCCTCAGAGCCCTTCTGCCCCACTCCTGACTGGTCCCAAAGGCCCCTGGCCAGAGCAGGGCTCCTAGAGAGACCCCCAAAAAGGGACAAGTTCCAGTTCCCCACCTCGACCCCAACCCCAACCCCAGCTCAAACACCTGCCTGCTGACTGCCCTGAGTCCCCAGCAAAATAAAATTAAAAGCTACTGGAATGAGTTTTCATGAAATTAAATATATTCCTCTTTTCAAGCACTGAGATTATTTTAGAAAAACATTTTGGCATTAAAATTTTACTTTGATAAAATAATTGATAAGAGGTGAATAATTATTTTTTAAATGGCTTACTTGGCAATACAAAAATTCTATACAACTCTGTCAGACACCAATTTTTTTCCCCCTCAGATTTTACTGATCTGTGAACTCCTAGAGCGTGGAAACTGTTGCTCTCAGGGAACCTAAGCGATGGCAGCCACAGTCCCCCAGCTTTCTAAGTATTAACCTTATTCTCGTTGTAAAAATATGGGTGACGCTCCTTCAAGTCTCCTCTCTATTTGTAGTTTCAACTTGCCTAGACGACTTCCTCATGGCCTCCTTCTCTCTTCTAAAGGAAATCACTCTTTGTGAAGACCCGGCGCCTCTATCTCTGCATTCCCAGTGCACCAGGAACATTTGCCCTGGTTGGAGGGTGCTGATCAAGATGGCAGCTGGGGGGCAATGGCCACCCTTACAGAGCTCTCAGTTGCCTTTTGCATTTCCCACTGAGCTCCTGTGTTATACTCTTCAAGGGTTATTTGGAGGGCTGGGTTCCCAGGTCTTTAAAGGTCTTATTGTCCACTGGCTTCTCTCTTCCATGTTGGGTTTACATAATTTGAGGTTTCCCCAGTGTAGGCCTCGCCTGAAACACTGCATCTTCTCCCATGGACAAAGGATGACCTAGGACTACAGCTACTATTGCATGTGGGACACTGGCTGGGTTCCCCGTGGAGCAGCCAGAGGGTGGCTTGGGTATTAATCATCTTAGTAACCCCAGCATTAAGTAACACACAGTAGGTGCTCAGCGAATGTTAGAATAAATGCATGAATGAGTGAATGGGCAATGGTGGGGGGCTCAGCATCTCTGCCCACCCCTAAGTCCTCAGTGATAACCTATCCCAGTAAGCACCCCCAACAGAGCCCCATCCCCTGGGCTGGCCTCTAGGACCCTCTTTCCCCTCCCACCCCAAGAAGCTGGCACAGGCTGAATAGAAGCTCTCCTCTGAGGATGTTGTAGGGCTGGGTGCTGGTGGGAACAACTGGGAACTCTAATGCCCATCCATGTCTTACCCAGACTCTATGGCCCCCCTGGCTTCAGATTTGTCTTTGTGGGCTGGCATGCATACAGTAGGTGCTCAATAAATGCTTACTGAATTGGATGCTAGTTGGTGAAACACAACAAAACTTCCACTTTACTTCATAAATGGTTGTCCAGATTAAATGAGAGTATGCCTGTACAATGCGCAATACAGTGCCTGGCACTCAGAGGTACTTGATGGGAAGGCTGGCTTTGTGGGCACCTGGTGTCCTGAGAGCCCTGCTGCTATATTTGTTAGATGAATGAATGGATGAGGACCGCTCCATGTCCCCTAGCTGAAGGTCTGTGTCCAGCACTCCAAAAATGGCATTGAGGCATGACTCACCTGCCCGGCACTGGTGCACATGCCCTTGGGGGAGTGAGAAGTGCATTCCTGGAGAGCCAGCGATGCCTCCACCAAGACTCAGCAGGCTCTGTCCAAGCTCTTCTCCCACAAGCCTGCCCTCCCTTCCCTGGTCCTCGTGTCTTCTCCCACTGGAGTCCTGAGCTTCCCTCTTCCTCAGCCCATTCAGTCACTCTTCCTTTTTTGAATGGAGTCTACCCCTAACCTGATTTATCGCCTCCCTCCCATTCCTATTAGGGCCAGTCTTTCCCCCTCCAACAAGGCTTTCTCAGGGCTATCAGAGCTGCCTTCCTAAAATAGGTCAGGTCAGATAGTACCATCCTCTCTCGCTCAACATTTAGTGGCTCCCCATTGCCCACAGAATAAGCATCTTTCACATGATCCTCTCTGGTTTTTGTCCTGCCTCCCTTCCCAGCTTTAACCTTGCCACCAGATTGTCTCATAACAGTCATGCTTTCAACTCACCAAAACTTTCGTGCCTGTCATTTCCTCAGTCCGGAATACCATCCCCACTCCTAATCTCTACTCACCACTCTTGAAGGCCCAGCTCAAACGCCATCCTGTCCACAGAGAAGTCCTTGAGGGCCCCCAAGTGGGAACGACTCAACGCACCCTTTGTGCTCCTTCACCTCGGATTTAACATCTGTATTTCACCATTGTTTCATTCTGCCTTGTTTCCTAGTTGACTGTGCACCTGACAGATGTTGGCTAAAACATTACGTTGTCGGAAAAGTCCTGACGTATTTTTCTGTTTTTTGTTGCAAACATGTGTCATGACCTTTCCAACAATCCAATGTTATAAATGCGGGGTTGGGAAAAAGGGGGCAGGGGCTGACCTTGTTGGTCTTCTTATTCCCCACAGCACTGGGCACTTGGCAGAGCAGGCTCTAGCTCAAGTATTCGTTTAAATAAAATGAAGAGTAGGAGAAGCTTACATGCTCCTTCCCTGCCAAGTCTTTATTCCAGAGAAAATACAACTGCCCAAAGCCCCATGCTCCGAAGTCCTCCCCAATACTGCTGGTAGTCCTGGGAAAACCCATGCTCCCTTTCCCAGCATCCCTTCCTCACTCAGCTGTTTTTATTCTTCTTCAGTGACCAAATCCTGTAGCTTCTCCTGTCCCAGCCTCCCACACAGCAGCTGGGGGATCTCAGGGCCCCAATTTCCTGCATTCCCAGGCAGGGCCCTAGCTGTCTCACTCAGTGCAGCCAAGCCTGTCTCCTCAACACCCAGGTGGGTGGGCGGTGTCTTGTGGAGCCCAGCTTGGCTTGCCCACCTCGATGTCCCTGTTCTTGGGGCTGAAGCCTCAGTCTCCCACCGCCAGCAACCCCCTCCACCAGGAGCACCCTGTGGCTACAATGGAGCCAGTTGGGCCCCTGAGGACAACTGTCCTCCTTCCCACCACAGGTGTGGCAGCCAGGCTCTCCTTTCCCTTGACAGCAGAGCTGGATCTCCTCAGAACCCCCTCGGGCCCCCACAGCCTTGCCCATACCTCATTATCCTCCTCCTGTGCCAGCCGCTGCTCGATAAGCGCCGTGGCCCTCTGCACTGCCTCGGAGCCTGCCATGGTGCTGTCTGTAACCCGCCTCTGTAGGCCACAGGGCCATGGGGGCTTTATAGACCAGGGCACCCACCCCCGCCCCGCTGGGCGCCTTTGCCATGAGCTCACCGGCCCAATTCTCCACCTGCCTCCCCCACCTGTCACCTTCACCCAGAGCAGCCCCAGGGAGCGGGGGGAGGCAGGGACAGTTGCCCCCCTAACCCCTAGCCTACTGGAGCGGGAGGGTATGACTCTGAGAGCAGGGCTGCAGGGAGGAGCCTGCCCAGCCTCTGTCCTGAGTGCTTGGGCCCAGGTGGCCCTTAGCCAGGGTCGCTGAGCTGCACAAAGCACCCGCTGGCTGCCCCTAGTCCCGATGGCAGTGCCACCTGCTGGACGCCTGGAAACCGTGCTGTCAGTACCAGCGATGGGTTCTGAAAGCCAAATGTGGGAACCCAAGACAGGCCTGTGTCCCTAGGCTGTCCTGTGAACAGGCCCTGCTGGCTCTGGGGAGCAGCAGACTGCCTTGTCTGGACTGGAGTACCCGGGTGAGGGGATAAGGGCAGCTCGCTCCCGCTTCGCCTACAGCTCATGCAGGCCTTTGCCTCTCTGGGGTCCCACAGCGCCCCCTAGCAGAGCATCCCTGCATTTGGCTGCATGTCCATTACTCCTTGACAAACCTCATCCATCAGTTTCAGGGGGCCTGCGTGGGACTTACAGGGTCTTGCTTCAAGAGGGGTCTCAAGAAGCCAGGGGAAGGGCCCGAGTGCGGTGCCACGCCCAGCTGACAAGAACACCGGCTCCGAATGATCACGCTTTCCTCCCATTTCCGTCAGGCCAGCCTGACCGGAGGCTGGCCATGCTCACTGAGAAAGAAAAATCCTCCCAACTAGAGAAAAAACAGACCTTAAGTTGCTCAGCCCCACACCAGGAACTGTGGGAATCAGCACTGGGTCACCATGACCCAGGTTTAACCAGCCAGTGAACCACAGACATCACAGCTCTGTGGTTCTGTGACACTCACGTGGCCCACCCTTAGCTAAGCACCCTCATCTAAGTATTCCCCTCTCTGCGTCTATGCACACTTTTCCCTAAAGCAGCACAGGAATGGCTCCTTTTTCTTTTGGTTCCCTTGCTGGCAAGCCAACACATGCTCAAAACCTAAATGTGTCAGAGATTTTGCTTAACATCACCACGGCTACAGTATTGCCAAGATTTGCACACATTCCTCAGTCCTGAGGGCCTGGCTCTGGGGCTGGAGCTGGAAGCCAGCACCCTCTCGTGGCAGGAGCAGACGAGAAGGTAACTAACATCACCTTCCTGAGATGCTGCCTTCTTCACATCTGTTATCCATTTAATCCTCCCAGCAACTGAGGGAGGACGGAGGGCAGGTGGCATCACATCCACTTTAAAGATAAGCAAAGTGGGTTCAGAGGTTAAGTGGTTTTTCCTGAGGACCCATGAGAACACAGGGCCCAAACACTAGCAGTTCAAGGCTTGCTCCACTGTACTCTGCTGCACCCAGGCAGCTGGGGAGGCTATGCACTCACCTGCTTCCACACCAGAACTGGCTCTGGGGCTCCCCGGAGCCGCAGGGGAATCCAAAGTCAAAGCCAGACAAAAGAGAAGGAAGGAGCAAAAGGCTTTATTGATAAATATGCAGATATGTCTGTACACAGGGACCTGCTGTGGGGCCATGAAACTGGCTGCAGACCCCCACTGCTTGGGTTACAGCCAGGAGATGGCCCCGTGCAGACCCCTGACACAGCAGCCCAGCTGTCTGGCCACCTACCTCATCTCTGCCAATTGTGCTGGGGGCAGGGAGAGGCAGAGGCCGGCCTCAGGCTCCCTGCCTCTGGGGCTCATGAGCGGTGCCCTCCCCTCCTCTCTAAGGGACTGGCAATGTACCCAGGGCAGAGTCAGGGGGTGAGGGCAGGGGAGGGAGACAGCAGCTGCTTCAGACCCTGAGCAGAAAACCGGAGTGAGCACAGCTGGCAGTACCAGATGATGAGTCTGGGCTCCAGGGGCCTCCGGGCCAGCCCTCATGGCTCGAACCTGCCCCAGGAAAGAGGCAGGGTGGAGGGCTCCAGTTCGTCTTTTCTCTGACAAGGTTGGCAAGGCCTGTGTGGCAGCACTGCTTCCTGGGTGCTGGGCACTGGTGGCCCATGGTGTTCCTGGGAGGCAGGGTCCCTTCACAGCTCATCCAGCAGCCATCTAGCGGGGAGGCGCCCCTGAAGAAGGCAGCAGCAAGGTCGGGGGGCCTGATGCTCCAGTCCGGAGGCCTCTCAGCCCTACAGAGGTCCCCCCTGGCCTCTCTTCCCAGGGGTTCGTGGGCTTATCAGTCCTGGGGTGGCGGGGGCTGGTTGATGATGACCTGGATGACAAAATCTTTCTGGATCTTGGTTTCCTGGAGTCGCGTACGGTCTGTGAGCAGCTTCCCGGAGAAGAACCATCGCTGCCAGGACGGCTCAATGCCCTCCTGGGCATGCAGCTGCCTCTTGAGCTGCCCCACCGTGTCGGGCAGGCTGGCGTTGAGCCTCACGTCCTTGCCTGTGGAGAGGCGCACCTTTAGCGGGAACTCGCGGCGCACGCTGGGTGTGGGCTCAGGGGGCTCCAGGTTCTCCTCCTCAGTGTGCTCCAGCAGCAGGTTCACGGGGGGTGACAGGCAGTAGATGGGCAGCTGGTAGCGATTGCCCAGCTCATCATAGCATTCACAGAGGGTGCCTAGAGGAGAGACAGCTGTCAGAGTCGGCTTGGGGACTGAAAGGTGCCCCACAACATTCAAATGTTGAAGCCCTACCCCCCAACGTCCCTGTGTTTGGAGACAGGGACCTATATGGGAGCAATTAAGGTTCAATGAGGTCGTATGGACAGGGCCCCGACCCGAAAGAATCAGTGTCCTTATAGGAGCCATCACAGTGCTTGTGCTCTTGCCGCCATTTGATGAACAACAAGCAGGCAGCCGTCTATGAACCAGGAAGAGAGCTCTTGCCAAAAACCAATTCAATTGGCACCTTGATCTTGGGCTTCCCAGCCTCCAGAACTGTGAGAAGTAAATTTCTGTTGTTTAATAAACCACCCAGTTTGTGGTATTTTGTTATAGCATCCCAAGCAGACTAATATACCTGTGATGGCTACCCCACAGTGCCCAATCCATCTTATAGGCAAGTGTCTCTCAGAGAGCTGGGAGGAGCTCAAGGCAGAGTCAGGAGGACCTGGGCTGGCATTCTGGCTCCAGCAGGTACTGGCTCGTTCAACCCTGGCATATTACTTACTTTCCATTTGTTCATTCAACAACTCTTTCCCGAGCATATGTGCTGGGTGCTGGGGTTACAAGGATGAATGAAATAGCACAGGCCCTGCTCTTCATGGCTTATACCCTAGAGGGCCTCAATGTGCTTACTTGTATCGCCTATAGAAATATATTCATTGTGCCTTGAGCACCTACTAAATACTAGGACTGGACTAAGTGATGTTATGATATCTTGTTGAATCTAACAACCATCCTATGAGGTAGGTATGCCCACTTTATAGTTGTAAATCTTTGAGGCTATTCATAGCAAGGAAACAGAGACACTCATGTTAGACCCACGTCTACGACTCCAGAGTTCCACTGCTAACCTCTACTTTACACAGCCCCATAGGCTATTATGAATGTAAATGAGATAATGCAGAAGCTACTAATTCAGTGCCCAGCACATAATAAACACCAACAGAAAGTTGGTACCTCCGATGTTCTGGGATCCCAGTCCTTAGCCTGCTCTCATTACACGACTTTGAGGTTTGTTGGTGCCGTTCCATCCCCTCACTGGGCAGACAGGGACTGTGTCTCATTTTAATTTGCCCTCATTCCTGGTCCATGCTCATAAGGGCTGCTTAGATGAATAAGGAAATAGCAACACCCACCACCCTGGCCAGCAACTCCTGACATGTGGTTGGCTACGGGCTCTCCTCCATCCTAAACAGCGCTGATCTCCAGTGGGGATCAAGAGCCCGCCCTGCCCGCTCACCATGAGGCAGGGTGATACTGGCTCCATCCAGGATGGCCTGGGCCAGCTCGTGGTCATT